CTAAACAGCTTCCTTGAATTTAATATCCCCCAGATGGGAATTGTATGCATTCCAGGCCTCCAATCTTGGGGGAAGGGGGAGAAAAGGTTGAAAGAGGGACAACAGGCCCATATTTTCACTATAATCCCTAAGACCTTCCACAGTGGCTCGGTGATTATGGATGTTAACACACTCCTGTTGAAGCCCACTTGATGGAGGAAGCCACGGTTGTGTTCAATTATGACTTGGATGAAGGAGACTTTAGGGCACTCTCTTGCCCTGGAGGTGACAAATCCTCCCTAAATTGGAACAACTAGCCTGATTTGATCAATAGCATAGACTGAGGAAAAGATCTGGTTATTACCACATCCCTCTCTCCCATGGTCACCCATGAGTCAAAGCAGACATTAAAGACTCAAAGTCAACCTTCTGGAAGAAGACACCTGAATGAACAAGTGGTAAAACTGGAAATGCTACTATACAGCCAGAGTTGGAGTGCTCTGGCTGCATAGCTAGCAGAATTACACTCTGTGCAATTCTCATCCCTTGATTTATTTGCATGGCAGCATCAGGAATCAAGAGCCAATACCTAGGTATTACAAATGTAGGAGTGACATTCATCTGTCAGTCATTCAAAGTGGTCCCAAAAATGGCAAAGGAGGGGGAGATGGACAAATGCGGCCAATAAAGGGCTGTGGTGGATCCACCCCCTAGATATTGGAGATTATAATTATATATTTTGTTCAAGTATCATATTGTTGCTCTTCAATTTTAAAGCATTGGTGAGTCAGGGTTTAGAACACGTATACACAAAAAAGACTATTACATCTTATCTTCAATGCCCATGAAGGCTGGTTAATATTTGCCTAATTAAGAACTACAGGGTGCACCATAAATGAGTACTAAATCCTGAATATATCAGGCACTTCAGTTGCTTGGAGTGGAATTCAGCACCATGGATGACATTTTATCTATCAGCACAGAAATACAGTATCTGGCAGGATTGTCCCCCACAGATATCTGTCCCACATAGGGTGATTCTATTAACCTTCCTGGTTAATAACCATTCATAGCATCATCCTTTAATTTGTCTGAGCTAGCAGCAGTAACTGCATCTCAAGTAGCATACTGAATCCCATCAATTAATTGTGCTCAATGTGCTGGAGTACTTCAAACTGATTAATAATAGATTAAAACAGATCAAATCATTTCACAGGAACAAGATATCTAGGAGAGAAAATCTGTGTGCCAGAGAGACATTAGATACTACCAGTGGATTAAGTAACATTGTACTCACAGAATTATTAGTTTTGTAAGCAGCTTTTTTTTGGCAACATTGATCTTTATACCTCACACATTTTTCTGAATCCTTAAGTATTCATCACTAATATCATCAGACAAGAGAAACTGTGGGAAGAGAGCCATGTTAGTCTATGGTGGCAAAAGATCCGATAAAGTGATAGAATAGAACAGAACAGAATAACCTAGTTGGAAGGGACCTTGGAGGTCTTCTAGCCCAACCCTCTGCTCAGGCAGAAAAGCCTATACCATTTCAGACAAATGGTTGTCCAATCTCTTCTTAAAAACCTCCACAACTTCTGGGAGCAAGTTGTTCCACTGATTAATTATTCTAACTGTCAGAAAATTTCTCCTTAGTTTCTAGGTTGCTTCTCTCTTTGATTATTTCCATCCATTGCTTCTTGTCCTGCCTTCAGGCGCTTTACTCCCTCTTCTTTGTGGCAACTCCTGAGATATTGGAACACTGCTATCATATCCCCCCTCGTCCTTCTCTTCACTAAACTAGACATACCAATTCCAGCAACCGTTCTTTATATATTTTACCCTTCAGTTCCCTAATCATCTTTGTTTCTCCTCTGCACTCTTTCTAGAGTCTTAATATCTTTGCTGACCAACGCTGGATGCAGTATTCCAAGTATGGTCTTACCAAGACCTTATAAAGTGGTATTAATACTTCATGTGATCTTGATTCTATCATTCTGTTAATGCAGCCTAGAACTGTGTTGGCTTTTTTGGTGGCTGCAGTACACAGCTGGCTCATATTTAAGTGATTATCCACTAGGACTCCAAGATCCCCATCACAGTTGCTACTATTGACCCGGGTACCCCCTATACTATACCTGTGCATTTTGTTTCTCTTACCTAAATGTATAACCTTACTTTTTTCACCATTGAATTTCATTTTGTTAGATAGGACCCAGAATTCACATTTATCAAGATCCTTCTGTATCTTAAGCCTATCTTCTGGAGTGTTGGCTATTGCTGCCAGCTTGGTGTCATTTGCAAATTCGATGAGTTTCCCATCTATCCCCCTCATTCAAATCATTGATGAAGGTGTTGAAGAGTATTGGGCCTAAAACAGAGCCTTGGAGTACCCCACTGCATACTTCCCTCCATGCAGATGCAATTCCATTGAGGACTACACGTTGAATGCGGTTGGTCAGCCAGTTATGAATCCATCTAGTAGTGATGCTGTCTAATCCACATTTTTCTATCTTATCCAGTAGTAGATTGTGATCTACTTTATCAAATGCCTTACTGAAGCCCAAGTACATTATATCCACAGTATTCTTCTGGTCCACTAATTTTGTCACTTTGTCAAAGAATGCAATAATATTTGTCTGGCATGATCTGTTTTTGACAAACCCATGTTGGCTTTTGGTAATGACTTTGTTTGCCTCTAGATGGTTACTGATTCGTTGCTTGATTTTCTTTTCCAAAATTTCCCCAGGTATTGAGGTCAGGCTAATAGGTCTGTAGCTTCCTAGATCTATTTTTTTTCCTTTTTCAAAGATGGGAACTGCATCAGCTCTTTTCCAGTCCTCTGGTAGTTCCCCGGTGCTCCAGGAACTTTGAAAGGATATAGTTCAATGGTTCTGAGATCACGTCGGCCAGTTCTGTCAGAACCTTGGGGTGTAATCCATCTGGTCCCGGTAATTTGAACTCGTCTACGGTGGACAGGTGCTTACTTACCATTTTCTTGCCTATTTTAATTTGTATTCCTAATCTGTTTATGGTACTGTTGATAGGTTGGATTGTTTTTTTTTCTTTTGTGTGAAGAGGGATGCAAAAAAACAAGTTAAGCAGTTCTGCTTTCTCCCTGTTGTTTGACTCCTTCTTGCCACTTTCTCCCATTAATGGACGAATAATTCCTTGACTTTTTTCTTGTTTTTTACATGTTGAAAGAAATTTTTTTATTTTTTATTTTTGTCACAAGCCTTAGTTCATTTTGATCCTTAGCTTTCCTCACTTTATCTTAGCAGGCTCAGGCTATTTGCTGATATTCTGCCTTAGTTATGTACCCCTCTTTTCACTTTCTATACTTGTGCTTTTTGTCTTTCAATTTGTCAGAGAATTCTTTATTCAGCCATGCTGGTTTCTTTTGAAAACTGTTATTTTTCTTCTTCATTGGTATTGTGCTAGACTAGGCTTTTATAATCTCACTTTCCCAAGCTTCTTGGGCTGTTTTCCCCTTGAAGATTCTCATCCATGGAATTCTTCCCAAGCTCTCTCTAAGTTTATTGAAATTAGCCTTCTTAAAGTCCAAGACTCTAATTTGACTTTGTTCTATTGCTTGTGCTTGCATAATGTTGAATTCCAATATCGCATGATCACACCCCCCCCAAGGTTCCTATAGCTTCAATACCTTCTATCATTTCCTCTCTGTTAGTGAGAATTACGTCCAATATGGCTGATCCCTTAGTTCCCTTCTTTACTTTTGGGGAGACAAAATTGTCTGCTATATTTGTTTGATCTTCCCTTGGTGCAGAGTTTGTCTCCCAGTTTTGCTTAGGCCTTTTAATAAAAAATTATTTGTCGGAAAAGGCACTTTCAGACAAGGAAGGAATTTAGTTTATCACACCTCCCGCACTGCTACGGTCCTTGCCTGGGTTCCCTCTGCAACCACAAGGGAATGGAAGCACCTGTCTTACCTCCCTGCATAAATGGAAAATAGTTCAAAACACAGGGACTTCCCATTTAGTATGCATGCATCTTAAATTTCCAGTTCTCTGTTCCATACTGAAGCCAGGAGAGACTCAGTCAAAACGAAATTCTCTGTATCAGTGTTTCACAACCTTGGCAGTTTTAAGATGGGTGGACTTCAACTCTCAGAATTCCCTGGCCAACCAACCAACTAGGGAATTGTGGGAGTTGAAATCCATCCATCTTAAAGATGCCAACTTTGAGAAACACTGCTCTCCTTGCATTCCCTTTTGTATGAAAGAAATAGCCTGCTGGCTTTCAAGCATCTGAAGGTACATTTAGGTGTCTGAAGGCACATTTGAGGCTACATCCGCTGCAATATTATCATTTTCGTCATATTTCCACATGTTTTTAGAAGCTCCGTGTTCCTACGCTGGGCACAGTTCCTCCTTCATTCCTTTCCACAACAACAACCCTGCAAAGTAAAGTGAGCTGAACGAAGATCGCTTAAGACGAAGAGCTTCTCCTTGTTTCACTGATCGGCCCCGGAGTCCCGCCTGACAGCCCATCTATGCAGCTTTAAGCCTTTTCTTCCCCGGCTGCTGCCGCCAGAGTCTTTTTTTCCTTTAATCCCCGTCCGTTTTCCACGTCTACAGTGGTCCTGGGAAAAGCAGTCTTTTTTTTTTTTTTTTTTTAAAGCCACGGGCGAGTCTGTGGGGGCTCCAACGTGCTGGGGAATGTCTGCGCCGCTCCAGCCTCCTCGTCTCGTCCTCCGCTTCCGACCTCGCCAAACGAGGCGGACGGAAAATCAGCGCGAAGAGCAACCCCCCCCCCCCACACACACACCCTCACAAGCACACACGCCGCCCCGCGATCTGCGGCTCCACCCCCTTGGCATCTCAGCCACTTGGTACATTCTGCAGCCGAAGTCCCAGCCAGCCCTGCCGGAGCCAGACAGCCGGAGTTACGCTCGTGGCCGGTGGAGTCCCCGAGCTGGACCACCGCTCCCTGGGAAGATGAGAAGGCGCTTGGGAGCGGCGGGAGTATTCGCGGCCGATCTGCTGTGAGAGAGAGAGAGAGAGAGAGAGAGCCCTTCTGCCCGGGAAGGCCGTAGTAGAGACTATCCAGACGACCCAACGCGTAGCTGCCCACGGAAAGCGATGTCAGGACCCGAAACCCATCACGGTCACAGCCGGAGGCTGCCCTGTAAGTCCGTCCTTTGCCTGGGGGAAACCCAGGGTGGGCGCTCCCCTTCCCTCGGTTTTTCGAACCGAAACTTTTCTTAGGCATTTCTGAGAAACGGAAGTGCCAAGGCAGACGGGTATGGCTTGGCAGATGAAATATGGAGGGGAGAAAAGGGGTTTCCTTTCAGCCTTCTAGGATCCAACTCCCATCCAGACTTCGCGCGCTGCAACTCCCGCCTTGCCCAGGCAGCAGGTGTTAAGGGGGGCTGTGTCGACTGGCCTGGAGTAATGAGGGCCAGCCAGGCTGAAGAGAAGCCCATCTTCCCCTAATGCCCCCAGACCCCAGAGTCCTGGCTCCCAACTGGAATGCAGGGCCAGGTTCTCTCCATACACGCTCAGAGAAAAAGAGCTTTCATCTGAGAGCAGGACTTCCCCCCTCCCCATTCCTTTCCTGCCCTGGGTTATTGTGGAAAAATAGCTTGACTAGACATCATTTCAGGAGCAGGGGAATTGCTTGGGCACAAATCCCAGGATCCACACCTCTTGATTAACATCAGGAAACCCCATCCGTTACCATTGCCTTCTAATTTCAGTTCATCTCTTAGTATTTTGTCACTTCGACAACAACCCACAGCATTTCTTTCTCAAGACAATCTGACTCATAGGCTTGCATTTTTTCCCCCCTGTTTCAATCTAATTTATATGACTACATCATTTATATGCTGTTGAGAATTTTTTTCTCTCTCTTCTTAAGAAATTACAACTCATATCAACCCCAGTCAGCACTGGAATAATCCTAAATCTCTGGAAAGCCTCGTGTTTATTAGTCCTGCTTACAAATACTCACCTGCTAACCTTGGACTTTGTGCCTCTTCCAGTCTCTTCCTGATCTGCATTCAGGAAATACCTATAGGCAAATCTAAACAATGGCTCCCCACTTCCCATCCTTCTATAAAGTCTATATAAGGCAGTGGTTCTCAACCTTTTTAATGCCGCGACCCCCAACCGGTCATAAGTCGAGGACTAAACCGGTCGTAAGTCGAGGACTAAACCGGTCGTAAGTCGAGGACTAAACCGGTCGTAGGTCGAGGACTACCCAACCGGTCGTAAGTCGAGGACTTTCCCTGCCCGGGAGCGCCGCGCATGCGTGGTTCCGCCCCCTGCGCCAGCCGAGGCATAGCTGGCAAGGGCAGAGACAGAGCAGTCCGACCACCAGCTGGCCCAGCCCAAGGGAGGTAAGGCACCCGCCGGAAAAGGGGGAAAAAATGGCGGACAGCCTTGCTTGGCGACCCCCGTGAAATGGTCGATCGACCCCAAATGGGGTCGCGACCCATAGGTTGAGAACCGCTGATATAAGGTGTTTAATTTACATCTGACAGGTGTTTATGGTCAAAAACAAATGTGTTCACATTTTGGCTAAGAAAAATACATTCAGTGCACCAACTGTCTTTTTCTCTTCCCCTGTGATCAGCACAAATTGTAAAGTTATTTTTTTTTCCTGGCAAAGAGAAAGTATTGTTCTCATAGACAAATTCAGTGGGAGTTTATGTGTAGTTTCACAAGGTGCAAGTGGTGGGTAATTGCTATCAGACAGCAGGATAAGAATAAAAGCAACAAGCCCAGTGCTCATTTCCTCCCCCTCATTTTAGTCAAAGTATGCCCTCCTCCCTCCCCCATACTGTAGCTTTCTAAAAAAAAATCCCTTACAGTTAAGATATTAGGCTTTTGTGTGGATCATCCCTGCAATTTCAACTTTGCTCTTTATATTATATTCCCTTGCTTTAAGGAGACCTTTTAACTCTAGTGGGTGATGGGGCCTGAGATGTTGTGATAGTGATGTCATGTCAAGATATTTGCCACCCTCATAAAAAGCTATGCATGAACTCTTCTTCCTGAGAAATTCACCCTCTGCTGTAATCTCTCTTCAGAATGTACTCTCAGTATCAATTCTGATGAATTCACATGATTCTTACGTTGATGCCATTTTTACATTGGCAACTTTTCTGATGCAAAAGAGAAAAGCTAGATCTATCTTTGCATACACAAATGTGCCACATTCCCTTTTCTAGATATTCCTCCACTTACAATCAATCTTTGATATTAACAATTTTAATTCCTTTTAAATTATAAGTGTATTTTTTAATGCAAAGGTGCATTTAATGTGATGTCCCGTTCTATCTTTTCTTTTCTTTTTCTTTTTTGCTGGTAGGGTGAAGAACTTTTATTTTTAGATGAGGTTGCTAAAACAAGTCTCTTTTGATCTCCATTTAAAGTCTTTTTCCCTAGGCTCTGAAGAGAAATTGAGTAACATTGGCTTTTGTGAGATCTATTAGCCTATGGCAGATACTGGAAATAGTTGAAAGATCAGTGGTAGATTTCCTTTAGAGAAAAAGAAAATAAAACCCTTCTATTTCGTAGGAGATAATGGATAAGCATGTCTTAGGAATAACAGGTATGGAAAGATGAACTGGCCTGAAACTGGAGATTTAAAATCCATCAACAATTCCCATTTGAATGCTCCTCTCTGCCTTCCTTTGGGATGTGATACTGCAGTAAAAGCATAACTCAAACTGCGGGGAGATGAAGTGCAAGAAAAAGAGGGAAGGTGGGAGGAGAGACGGAAAAGCTGGTGACTTGAGAGAAACAGGGTGAGGTGAAGAATTATTATCCTGTGACCCTTCCCCTCTGTTTCAAATTCATAATGAAAGCTAGACTGGCCTATCCTTAAATCCCTTGAGTCTAGGAGCTAAAAATATTTTCACAGGCCACGGCTCTCTCTCCCCAGCAGAGACAACATCATAAGACCTGGCTATTTACAGGGCCACGAGTTGCTTTATATAGAATGACGAGCAGGATAAAACCAGGAGCACATTAGAGAGGTTGACGGGAGGACAAGAGATGTTCAAAACCCCAAGGACAACAAAAGGAAGCAGCTTCCTTGTTGTGCTTGGTCCAAACTGTAAGGTCAGCAGCCTTGCCTAGTTCAGTCTGGGAGCTGTCTTAATTCTCTAGATCAGACATGTCAAACACAAGGCCTGGAGGCTGGATGTGGCTCGCAATGTGGTTTCATGTGGCCCGCGAAGCCATCCTGGAAACAGTGAGGGAACGGCCCCCACTGCCTTGGCCCTGGCCCAGGCCAGCCGGGAGCCAATGTACAATTTTGTGGTGGCCATTTATGCTGAAATGCATTCAGTCTTAGCTCCACAAGGCCGTCTGGAAACAGCAAGGGACTGGCCCTTGCCGCGTTGGCCCCGCCCTCTGGGTGCATGCTAGTAAGTGTCACCCTTTGTGAGGAATGAAGAAATGCACCATCGCCTGGAAGTGGCCAGCAAATGGCCCTCACCTACTTCACATATCCGGCTTGATGGGCTCTGGGGGAGGGGTTTCAGCAGGCTCTTCCAGTGGACCATGCCTTGGCACTTGCCCTGGTCCTACCCCCTTCTGCCAGAGACCCTCAGATCTGTCCCACTCCTGCCCAGGCCCCGACAGGCACACTTGACGCGAACAATGTAGAGCTGGCCACACCCACCCAGTAGGCCACACCCACTCCAGCCATGCCTACCCAGTAGGCCATGCCCACCCTGGCCACACCTACCTGCCCCCCCCTGAGGACAACCGCAATGCTAATGCGGCCCTCAATGAAATTGAATTTGACACCCCTGCTCTAGATGATTGGAGTATGCTCTGTATTAAAAGAATCTTCCTGAATCTATTCCTCAACTTTGGCTGCTCTCTTGAAGATTTTGTTTTGGTTGCAGGAACAGTAGTGGTGTGGATTAAATCAGGAGCCTAAAGGGAGTGTGTAGAAAAGAAGGGTGGATGGATGGGAAAGAAAGGTGTCAGATCATATTTGGATGGGAATTGCATCCTTTGCTGAAGAAAATTTATTCCTTAATCCAAATACCTGCAATTCCATGCAGTACAATTAAAGCATTCTATACCTATATAAGAGCTATCTGTAGTTACCATGCAAATGCAGAAAGAAACAATCCATTGAAAATAGCTGTGTTGAATGGGCTGAATAACCTTAATAGTAGCAGTGTGGGATTTACCTCCAGATGACAAATAATTTATGGCTCCTATAGATCAGCATTCCTAATCTGAAGACCTCCAAAATGTGTTGAGTTTGCAGTACAGAATTACCAACTAGTCAGAGAATGCTTTCTCCTATATCCCAAAAGAACAGAAATGAGGACCTATGGTTGTTTTTCAATGCTATGATTTTGCATTCATCCTTGGGAAATAAATGAGAGCCTAGTTGGTCTAATGGTTAAAGTGCTGGACTAGGAGAGAAAAACCCAAGTTATAGTTCAGCCAGCTGGATGATCTGGGGTTCATCACTCCTTCTCAGCCTTAGGAAGAAGTCAATGGCAAGCCACTTCCAAAAATGATGCTTAAGAAATCTGTAGGGATTTGTCCATGCAGGCACCAGGAATCAAGTCTTTCTCAAAAGGAACCCCCCCTCCCCATGACTTGCAAAAATATGCCAAATTATACAAAAAGGAATAAATATATACCATTTATATATAGAATTCATCTTTGGGGCCTGAAGAATTTGGATAATTCTCAGGTGGTTCTATGTAAGTACTTTTCACAGTTCTGGAAACTGGAGATGTGAGATGAAGATGTGAAAATATGACTTGAATTATGAATTCTTAAGATAGCACTTTAGCAGGTCTATGTTTTTAAAGTTAAGTTTCTATCTGCAACATGGATATAATAATAAAGTTGAATTGTTATGTAGAATATTGAAATAAATCTGGACGTTTTTGCAATTTCCCTGACTCATTGATGGAATTTACAATCATATTTGTATCCTGCTTGGCTGTTGAATGCTGACCATTTCTGACAATATATAGAATGTCAGTCAGTACATACAGTATGGAAAATGTTCTTTCTAATTTATGTACTCATTCTAATTCAATAAATGCATGCTATTCAACCAGAATCTAGAACCAACCTTAATACCCTGTTTCTGAATTTTCCTGACTGAATACAGGTAGTTTTTGACCACAACTGAGC